AAGGACAGCAACTTGTCTGTTCCCCTTCCCCCAATTCCCCAATAAAAATCTTTAAAAAAAAAAAAAAAAAACATGCTTGATATAATTTCAGTCTTCTTGAGTTTACTGAGGCTTGTTTTGTGGCCTAATATGTGATCTATCCTGGAGAAGGTTCCCTGTGCACTTGAAAACAATGTGTATTCTAGAGACCATTAAATTTATCTGGTCTACTGTGACATTTAGGCCATGATTTCCTCATTAGTTTTTGTCGAGATGGCCTGCCCACTAATGTGAGTGGGGTATTAAAATTTGCTACTATTACTGTATTACGGTGGATTTCTCCCTTTATGTGCACTAATAATCGCTTTATATATTTAGGTGCTCCTGTATTGGGAGCACAGACATTTACGATTGTTCTAGCCTCTTCTTGGATTCACCCCTTTATAATTATGTAATTTCCTTGTCTTTAGTTTTTGTTTTAAAGTCTGCTTTGTCTGATATGAGTATTGCTACCCCAGCTTTCTTTTTGTTTCTAATTGCGTGGAGTATCTTTATCCATCCTTCACTTTCAGTCCGAATATGTCTTTTGATTTGAAGTGAGTCTCTTGTAAGCAGCATATAGATTAGATGGGTCATGTTTTGAAATCCAACATCAATTTTGTGTCTTCTTATTGGAGCATTTAATCTATTTACATTTCAAAGGATTACTGGTAAGTATATACTTATTGACATTTTGTTCATTATTTTTTGGTTGTTTTCATAGTTCTTCTCTGTTCCTTTTCTTCTCTTGATCTCTTTGTGGTTTGCTGTTTTTCTGTAATGTTTTGTTTGGGTTCCTTTCTCTTAATTGTATTCAGTCTTTTGTGGTTTGTGGTTACCATGAGGTTGATGTGTATTATTTTATATCTATAGCAGTTTGTTTTAACCTGATAGGTGTTTAGGTTCAAATATATGCTGTAAGGACGTAATATTTTTATTACCCCCTCCACGCTTTACATTATTGATGTCATGTTTTAGATCTTTTTGTGTTGTGTATCTCCTCACTAGTTATTGTAGTTTAGGCTGAGTGTGATACTTTTTTCTTTTGACCCTCATACAGCTTTTTAAATGTCTAATTCACTGTATTTATTGCATGTTTGGCTTTAGTCGTGAGATTTTCTTTTCCTTTCTCCTATTTTCTTATTTCTGGTTATGGCCATTCCTTTTCTGCTTAAAGAAGACCCTTTAACATTTCTTGTAAAGCTGTTTTAATGGTGATGAACACCTTTAGTTTTTGCTTGTCCGGGAAACACTCTCTCCTCAATTCTGAATGATAGCATTGTGGGGTATATTATTCTAGGCTGAAGGTTCCTTTGTTTTAGCACTTTAAAGGTATCCTGCTACTCCCTTCTGCCCTATAAAATGACTGAGAAATCAACTGATAGCCTTATGGGGTTTCCTTTTTTGGTAACTCTTTTTCGCTTCCTTCCTTCAAGATTGTCTATCTAACTTTTGCCATTTTAAATACAGTATGTCTCGGTGTAGGTCTCTTTGGGTTCATCTTGCTTGGAACTCTCTGTGGTTCCTAGACCTGGATGTCTGTTTCCGTTTTCAGCCTCATTTCTCTAAATAAAGTTTCTGTTCCTTTCACTCTTTCCCCTCTTTCTGGGATCCCTGTTTGAGCACTTGATGTTATTATCCCAGAGGTCCCTTAAACTATCCTCATTTTTTTTTAGGTCTTTTTTTTTTCTTTTTGCTGTTCTGATTGGTTGATTTGCACTAGTCTGTCTTCCAGGTTGCAGATCTGTTTCTATTACTTAATGTGCTGTTGATAATCTGCTGTTGATTCCTTCTAATGTAGTTTTCATTTTAGTTATTATATTCTTGGTTCTTACTAAAGTCTCTATTTTGAAGTTCTCCCTTAGCGTTTCTGTTCCCCTCTCAAGTTTGATGAGCATCCTTATGACTGCTTCATAAGGCAGATTACTTATCTCGGTTTCCTTAGGTTTTTTTCTGGAAGTTTTTGTTCCCTTATTTGAGAGATATACTTCATTTTATTTGACTGTCTATGTTTTGAATTAGACAAAACAGCTCTCTCCCTGTCTGAAAAAGTGGCGTCATGTAGGCGCAGCCTCTGTGCGGGCTGTGTGCTGGGTGGTTTGGGCAGGCCAATAGGAGCCAAGCAGCTGCCTCCTGCGTCTGGGACCCTGGACTACTGAGCTGGAGCTGCTCCAGGTGGGGAGGCCAGGCGCATGTGGTAATGGCCTGCTGGTCCTGCTGGCTGCCTTTGTTCAGGGCTGAGATGGGCTCGGGGGGTGTGTCTGGGAATGTGCTGCAGGGACCTTGCAGGTAGGCCAGAGCACCTGGATAGAGCACCCGCACACCCTAGGAGGCGGGAGGACGTCAACAATGGTATTATGGGCACCTGTGACCTCTGAGAATTCCCAGTCCCTGGAGAGCTCCCGTGGTTTCCTTGCAGTCTGCCTTGTTTCTTGTACTGAAAGTGGTCTTGTGTAGAAGCGACCTCTCTGTTGGCTCTGTGTGCCGGGAAGTTTTGGAGGCTGGTTGGAGCTGGGCAGGTGCTTAATAGGCCTGGGGCACTGGCTTGCTGGGCTGGAAGTCCAGTAGGAAGTCCAGGTTTGTGTGCTGGGCCCTGTTGTTCCTGCCTGCTGCCTTTGTTCAGAGGCAAAAGGCTCCAGGCAGCGTAGCCGGGAACGTGCTGCAGTGGTCCTGCTGGTCAGGCAAAGCCCCCGAGAGCTCCGCCGCCCATCAGAGAGGAGTGGGACGTGAGCAAGGGCTCACAGGCTCCTCCAGCCCGGGGCGTTCCTGCAGCTCCCCGGTGTCCCAGCCTCTGTTCTGTCTCTTTCTCTTGTTGTTCGGAAGCTGTTTGTTCAGCCCTCCGTTGTCTCACAGAGTAACTGCTACCTATCTATGTGCAGAGTTGAATTTGCTGACGGAGGGGGCGAGTGCAGTGTCCTGTGCTGGTGCCACCTGGACCTCAGGATGCTATTTATTGCCCGGGCTTTATTGTCAGTATCTCAAATCTAGTACAATTCTAACAAAATATCCCAAATAATAACAACGAACCCTTTTTAGCTAGCGAGGGGGTATTTTGTTTACATAGGAGTACAATAGAGTTTCTCTAAGATACTTTCCTAGAGGTGGAATGTCTGAGCCAAAGGTATTTACATTTTAAGTTATGATTGACGCTAACTGGCCCTCCAAAAAAAATTTAATTTGCACTCTCAATGATGGTGACTATTTGCATACATTTTTTTTTACTTTAATTCTTATTCCCTTTAAATGTGTCAGTTTGATAAGGGACAGTTTGATAAGGTGGGTAAAGGACCCTAATATTAAGTGCATTTTTGGATCAGAATTTTCAAGTATATTTTAATGTTTAGTACCATTTATGACTCTTTGATATGTTGTAAGCAGGTTATATTTGAAATTCTGATGGATGTTAAAAATTAATCTCATCTTTTCTTTAGGACTTAAAAAGTACCCAAGCATCTACTCTGGAACTGACAGCGATAAGTAGAGAAAATGTAAATATTAAATCTTTTGATGAACCACTAGTTTGTAAATTTTCTTTTAGTTGCCATGTAAATTAGGAGGCAGGCAGGCTGAGTTTTTTTATAAAGTTTTTAATATGAAAAATTGTCTTTAATATTAATAGGCTGAAAGTAATCATTTGAAAATTGAAGCATGTACATCTGTGGTGCCAGGCACTATAGGTTTTGCTGATGCTGAAACTACTGGTGTATCTGCCCATTGCCCCCTGTTCTATGTAAAACTGTCACTCTTAACTGTTGAATAGTATTGATAAGTATTGAACACAGTTGGTGCATTGGGCAACAATCTTGCAAATGTATCTTTTCCCCTTCTGGGAACAAGTGTGATTTAAACACCGAGTTTTTGCTATTATAATGGAGAAAGTACGGTCTTACCTCAGTACAATCACACCTCATAGACACAATATAATCGCAGCATTTTGGGAGCACCTGGAAAGAATAAGTAATCTGTGTTTGAAGCTCATGTGCAGTCCTGAGAAAAATGGGGGAGGGTATAGCATTCAGGTGAACAGGACTACCAGACTGTATTCCTCGCCTGAGTAGCCCTTGACAACTCCGTACCATGTTGTCACGAAGCTCTGGCACCTGTATGTCACCCCCAGGGCAGAGCAGGCGCTACTGTCCCAGGCTCTGGCCAGGCTCAGCTGAGTGCAGCCAGTAAGACCAGCCGCTCCTATTATAGAATCCAGTTCTTCCCTTTCAGACATCCTCATTTTGTCTTTCTCTTCCCATAGGTACAAAGTGCTGGCGTGTCACAGCTTGTAAGTACTTTTGCCCATGTTACAACAATGTGGAACATTTTGTCAAACACAGGAAGCAGATAGCTTAAATGTTGGAAGGCAGCTTCACGTATTCCACAGCTTACTGCAGAACTGTCTCCCTACAGCCCAGTAACAGAGGAGACACTGATAAAATCGTACCCAGAAGTGTCTACACCAAGAGCAAAGGTTCTGCTGTCAATCACACTTTGACTTGCGCCAAAATACTACCTACCAACTGTTTGTCAAAGGTTTGAAGAGCCCCAGACTTTCTTAATTCTATATCACAAATTAAGTTTTACTGAGCTGGTATATGTTACCTCTCCCCTCAGTAGAAGCCCAAAGCAGCCACTTGTCATGTGTGTGCTGTCAGGCACCCAGGCTTCGTCTTGGAGCCATCAGCTAACTCCCTAACTCCTCCCCTTCAGGCAGGACAACAGCAGTTCTTCAGACCCAAGCACAGGTATTTCTTAGTGAGTCACTTATACAAAGGATATCAGGTCCTACTCCACATCCTTTCATTTCACTGTGTAAAACGTACGCATTGAGTGTGCTGTGAGCCAGGCACAGTGCTCACTGCTGGGACTCCCCTGGGACCAAGGCGGATGCAGTCTGTCCCTTCATGGGGTTTCCAGCCATCACCTTCCAACACGCCCCAGTGTTTGGCCTGTTTTCTCACTAGATCTCTTTCTGCAGGCTTCCTGCTGCTGACTGTGGTTTCTTTTCAGACTCTGCCATTCGTTGCGAGGTTGAACTCCCCAATGGGCCCTGGACGGACTGTCGTCATCAAAGGAGAAGTGAATAAAAACGCTAAAGGGTCGGTCTCACTGTGTTACTAGTGTCAGTACTCTCCACAATGTCTCTCTTTGCCTATGTCCCGTAACAGTCTTGAGATACAAGTAGGGCTAATGTCATAATCCTCATTTGAAAGGTGAGAATATTGGAGCACGAGGAAGTTCGACTGCTAACAACTAGATGGTGGCAGAACAAGGTCTAAATTCTAATGTCCTGACCTCTGCTTTCTGTGGCATGTCTGTCCATGAGGCCCACGCCTGTCTTGTAGAGCTCTGGACAGCCCCATGAGGTCACGGAACTTTTTTAGGGTCCCTCCTGTCATGCGACTTACAAAATTTCCGCTTTTAGCATCTTCTCCAGAGATGTTCAGACTTCTGAAAGCTTAACATTAGAGCTCTTTCCTAGAAAGCAGTACATTTCCAAGAACGGAGCACATGTAAATGTTAGCCGAGAATCCTGCTGGAAAGGACCCCATACTCCTGCAGCCTGAAGAAATGACCTGGTTTACTTCTAACCCTTAAGTTTCTTCCCAACCAGAGCTGTACCCTCAACATTGATTTTAAAGTTATTTTATTTTGCACGTAACATACTTAATATCAATGGAATTCTAAGAATTTAAATTTTCACCCTCATCTGTGTTCCTGTAGCCATGTACATACTTATGTTTTGTGTACTTACAATCCAAGTTCAGTTCTGATTCTTAAAATTGCAGAAACTGCACTACTCTCTTCTACTTGGTTAATTGGTTTTTTTCTTTTTTTCTCTCAAAAGCTTTAACATTGATCTGCTATCAGGAAAATCAAAGAATATTGCCCTTCACTTGAACCCACGCCTGAATATTAAAGCCTTTGTAAGAAATTCTTTTATTCAGGAATCCTGGGGAGAAGAAGAGAGAAATATTACCTGTTTCCCATTTAGTCCTGGGATGTATTTTGAGGTAAGGTTTTGTTTTTGTTTTTTTAAATGGGACAGGAGAAAGAATTGTGGGAGTAGGGGTAGTGACGAGGCCCGCTCGTCTGCGGTGGCCACCTGGCTCGTCAGCCAGGCACCTAGAGGGTTAACCTGAGGCGACTGGATGGAGATGAGAAAAGAAAGACACAGAGACGAAAGTTGGGCCCAGGAGGTCCACTGTCCGCTGATGGCGAAAAGTGGCACCGTTTATTGCTTGCACACAGTTTTTATAGCAGAAGTAGAATTCTATAGGTAAGGGGTTTTGGGAACTTGAGGGAATGGGGAAGCAAATGTCCCCAAAGCGAGACAAAGTATAGCAAGTAGAAACTGCTAACAGGTTGGCAATTCACTCTGTAACTTTCAAGGCTGTTTGTGACATAGACTTGCAACAGCACAGTGGAGAATAAGCTTAATATCTAGCAGCATTCCCACGCTTCTCACCCGGGCCTGAAAGCGTGTCAGCTTGCCAGCTGCCAGGTTTAACCCTTACTGCAGACCTCCAGCTCTCCACAGGGTAGGATAAATGATCCATGTTAAATCAAGTCCTACTGTGGTGATTGTGTGTGGTTTTTATTTGGAGATAGTATTTTGAATGGCCCCTTTTATAACACAGTACAAATGGCAAAGCCAGTAGAGTGCCACAGTATTTGTACTAGAATTATCTGACATTTGTTGTCATGTTGGACACTACTGTGTAGACCCATATTGGTTAATAGGAATTTTAACAGGAACCTGTCTCAGTCCTGGGCTAGTATGTTTAATCCTGAGAACATGAAGACACAGAAACCGCCTGCACTGTCAGCTCCCCTGTTGGCTTTAAGGGGGCAGCCTTTCTTCCAAAGACTTAGTCCTATTTGTGTACGTTCAAGGAAAGATACATTTACATCACTGGGACTTTAAGGCATACAGTCCGAGTCCCCAAATATGTGAATATTATCACACAACCTTTCCCCAAAAGTGTTTCTGGGATGCTGAGTAGAGAATAAAGTCTCCTTGGCATATGGATGCTGGGTATACTCATTAGCTTAGGTGACTCACTGCCTCATGGTCATTTTAGGGTCACTGATTTAGGTCATGCTTGAGCAACATTTTAAACTGTCTTATGCTCTGGACCCTTTTGAGTTCTCGAGGACTCATGAAAACTAGTTGTTAAAAGCATGACCGTCAAGGCTGAATAGAAGATGGCAATTGGACGTTACTATTTATTCCTCAGTTCCAGTCTAATGCAGTGCCCTGGTATGTGGACAGACAGACAGATGTGAGCTAGTCATGGAAGTTGTGGATATTGGTTTGGGATTGAGAAGGATGTGGAAGGTTGAAGGTCAGGTTGGATTTTCCAGGTTTAAGGGATGATTTGAACAAGTCACCAGAGGAGGAAAAGGCAGCACAAGGGCTTGCTGACTTGGCAGGAGTCAGGGTATAAAGGGGTCTTGGGGTTCACTGGAGGGAAACAGGCAAATGCTACAGAAGGAACTTGATCCTTGTCATTGGTGACAGGAAACGAGTAACAACTTCTTTTTTGACCTATCTGAGCCCCAAGTTTGGAACTACTGTATTAAAAGAGGACAGTAATAATTAATTTAAGTAATCTTGTCCTTTTGTTAGTTTTCTACTTAAGAAAGTTATTATCCCTGGTGTTGGAGCACTGTCAGTTTTCTGTAGTGATAAATTTTTCCCAATTGCTTCAAACGCTTGCCTTTTTAACACACCTTCATTAAGATTCTCAGATCTTTCCATTATGCTATTAGTTTGATTTTAAACAGTATTTTCTGTTCCTTGCCATTTCAGATTCACTTACTAAAGTATCTTTCAGTTTTGTAATTTCATTTGTGAGCTCTTTATGTGCAGTTCATGTTCTCACAAGTGGTTCTGTAACATCAGGTGGTTTGAGGGATTTTGCTGTTCCATTTTCTCTTCTAGGTTATGTACTTCTCCTCTGTTTTGTGACAGTATGTTCACCTGGCCATACCATTTCTTCTCCATTAGTTTGTCATGCACTTGTTCTTATACAATATAACTGACTTTTCCATTGCATACATCTAATGCTAGTTTATTTACCCTTCTGAGAGCACCTGTATGTTTTGTGTTCTGTTGAAATTTTGTTAAATGCACCTTCCCAAAGGTCCTTTCCAGCTGGTGGAAACTGGGATTTCCACCATTGTTGTGGGGATATAATCCCACGTTATGGATATTTTCCCCCAATTGTTTATGTAGCCCCAGAGCCTGCATTTCTGTCAGCTCTAGTATCTGTGGAATTTCCCAAGCAGCTGTTTCAACTAGTCCTATCAGTAAAGGCACTCAGTTTGCTTCTTTGCAGATTCAGTTTTGTGCCTCAGCCTGGCCTCTGGGGATGGGCAGGTCAGCTGCTAGGCTGTGCTGCTCCTCTCTGCCCTTCTGCAGCCTGATGGAGGCGAGGAGCACAGGGGACAGGCCTGCCGTGTGCGTGGAAAACAAATGGCAGAAGCAGGGGCCAGACTGGCATTGGGATGTGGTATCAGAAGCATGAGAGTTGAGGTGTAAAAGTGACTTAAAGGGATAGTAGTTTCTTTTGTTTTGCACTGTTGGGAATTTTAGGCAAAGAGCTCTGAAGGGCTAAAGCAGTGATGAATCTGAACTGAAATTCTGCCAGAATGGTAATTATTCCATAGATTCATAGGCATCTGCTTGGCTTCACTAGCCTGCCTGAACTGCCTAGCACACAGCCTACACAGAGGCTGTGTCTACCTGAGGCCACTTTTTCAATACAGGGAGAGACAGTTGTTTTGTCTAATTCATATAAACAAACATAGAAAGTAAAATAAAATGAAAAGACAGAAGAATATCTCTCAAATAAAGGAACAAGTAAAACCTCCAGAAAAAAAAACTAAGGAATCCGAGATAAGTAATTTGCCTGATAAAGAATTTAAAGAAGCATCATAAGTTTGCTCATCAAACTTGAGACGGGAATAGGGGAACTTAGGGAGAACTTCAACAGAGAGAGTATAATAAAAAACCAAGCATACCTGAAGATTACAATGACCAAAATGTAGAAATCAATCAGAACAACAAAAAGAGAAAAAGAATTAAAAAAAAAAAAAGATAGTTTAAGGGACATCTGGGATAACATCAAGTGCTCAAACATTTGTAGTATAGGGATCCCAGAAGGAGGGGAAAGAGTGAAAGGAACAGAAACTTTATTTAGAGAAATATGGCCAAAAACTTTCCTAACCTGGGAAAGGAAACAGACGTCCAGGTCCAGGAAGCACACAGAGTTCCAAACAGGATGAACCCAAAGAACCTATACCAAGACACATTGTATTTAAAATGGCAAAAGTTAAAGAGACAATCATGAAGTAATTAAGAGGAAAATAGCAATTACATACAAAGGGAATCCCATAAGGCTCATAAGGCTATCAGTTGATTTCTCAGCAGCACCTTTATAGGCCAGAAGGGAGTGGCAGGATACCTTTAAAGTGCTAAAAGATGGGAACCTATTACCTAGAGTAATATACCTAGCAAGGTTATCCAGAATTGAAGGAAATATCGTTTCCTGGACAAGCATTTAACCAGCTTTACAAGGAATGTCAAAGGGTCTTCTTTAATCAGAAAAGGAAAGGCTGTAACCAGAAATAATAGGAGAAAGGAAAAGAAAATCTCATAGGTAAAACCAAAACATGTAATAAATACACTGAATTAGACATTTAAGCTACTATGAAGGTCAACGAAAAAAATATCAAACTCAGCCTAAACTACAATAACTAGTTAGGAGATATATGACATAAAAAGGTCTAAAACATGACATCGATAACAAAGCGTAGAGAGGGGAGTAAAAATGGATGAATTTGAACTTAAAACACCTATCAGCTTAAAGTACGCTGCTACAGATACAGAATAATACACATATACCTCATGGTAACCACAAACCAAAACGTACAGAAGATATACGAAGAATTAAGAGAAAAGGAACCCAAACAAAACACTACAGAAAAACAGCAAACCACAGGGAAGAGATCAGGAGAAGAAAGGAACAGAAGAACTATGAAACAATCAAAAACAATGAACAAAATAGCCATAACTACATACTTACCAGTAATTATTTCAAATGTAAACAGGCTAAATGCTCCAATAAGAAAATACAGAATGGCTGATGGATTTAAAAATATGACCCATCTATATGCTGCTTACAAGAGACTCACTTCAAATCAAAAGACATATTCGGACTGAAAGTGAAGGATGGATAAAGATACTCCACGCAATTAGAAACGAAAAGAAAGCTGGGGTAGCAATGCTCATATCAGACAAAGCGGACTTTAAAACAAAAACTAAAGACAAGGAGATTACATAATTATAAAGGGGTGAATCCAAGAAGAGGCTAGAACAATCGTAAATATCTATGCACCCAAAACAGGAGCACCTAAATATATAAAGCGATTATTAGTGCACATAAAGGGAGAAATCCACAGTAATATAGTAACAGTAGCAAATTTTAATACCCCACTCACATTAGTGGACAGGCCATCTAGACAAAAAATTAATGAGGAAATAATGGCCTTAAATGTCACGTTAGACCAGATAAATTTAACAGACATTTATAGCACGTTTCATCCCAAAACTGCAGAATACATATTTTTTTCACATGCACACAGGGAACATTCTCTGGGATAGATAGATCACATATTAGGCCACAAAACAAGCCTCAGTAAACTCAAGAAGACTGAAATCAAATCAAGCATGTTTTCTGACCACAGTGGCATGAGACTAGAAATCAATTACAGGGAGAAAACTGGAAAACACATAAATACATGGAGACTAAACAACCAATGTATCAAAGAGGAAATCAAATCAAAAACTACCTCGAAACAAATGAAAAGACAACTTTTTCAAAATAAATGGGATGTAGCAAAAGCAGTTCTAAGAGGGAAATTCATAGTTAACCTATGCAGGCCTACCTTAATAAGAAAAACTTCAAAAGAACTATCTAACAGTCTAGAGTTACTACACCTAATGTACCTAGAAAAAGAACTAAAAGCAAAATAAAAAGAAGGAAGGAAATAGTTAAAATTAGAGTGAAAATAAAACTGAAATGTAAAAAATAGAAAAGATCAATAAAACAAAGAGCTGGTTCTTTGAAAAGATACACAAAATTGATAAACCTTTAGCCAAAATCATTAAGAAAATAAGCACAAATAAAATCATAAATGAAAGAGAAGTTACAACCAAACCACCAGAATACAAAGAATCATTAAAGAATACAAGAATTATATGCCAACAAATCTGACAATTTAGAAGAAATGGGTAAATTTCTATAAGTATATAATCTTCCAAGACTGACCCAGGAAGAAATACAAAATCTAATTACTTGCAATGAAATTGAGCAGTAATCAAAAAACTCCCAACAAATAAAAGTCCAGGACCAGATGGCTTCCAGGTGAACTGAATGCTTTCAAAGAAGAATTAATACCTACCCATCTTAAAACTATTTCAAAAAATTGAAGAGAAGGAATGCCTCCAAACTCATTCTATGAAGCCAGCATTACTATGATACCACAACCAGTCAAAAATATTAAAAAAAGAAAATTACAGGCCAGTTTTCTTGATGCACACAGATGCAGAGATTCTCTACAAAATATTAGGCAACCAGATTCAACCATACATTAAGAGGATTATACACCTTTTATACACCATGCATTAAAAGGGTTATATATCATGACCAAGTGGGATTCATCCCAGGGATGCAAAGATGATTCAACATCCATAAATCAAATAATGTGATATATCACATTAACAAAATAAATAATAAAAACCTTGTGATCATGGCAGAAAAAGCAGTTGACAAAATTCAACATCCTACTATGATAAAAACTTTCAACCAAGTGGGTAGTAAAGGAACATGTCTCAACATAATAAAGGCTATAGATGACAAACCCACAGCTAATATTCTACTCAATGGTGAAAAGCTGAAAGCTTTCCCTCTAGGATCAGGAAGAAGAAAAGGATGTCCACTATCATCACCTCTATTCAACATAGTACAGGAAATCCTAACCACATAGATAGGACAAGTAAAAGAAATAAAAGGCATCCAAATTGGAAAAGAAGAAATAAACCTTTCATTACTTACACATGAAAAACCCTAAAGACAACCAAAAAACTATTAAAACTAATAAAGGAATTCAGTGAAGATTTCAATATACAGAAATCTGTTGCATTTCTATAAACCAGTAACAAATGGCCACAAGGAGAAAACAGTCCCCTTTACAATTTTATCCAAAAGCATAAAATACCTAGGAATAAATTCATCCAAAGATGTGAAACACCGGTTCTCTAAAAATTTTAAGACGTTGAAGGAAAAAATTGAAGGTACAAATAAATGGAAGGATATAACCTGCCTGTGGATTGGAAGGATTAGTATTGTTAAAATGTCCTTATTACCTAGAGCAATATACAGATTCAGTGCAATCCCTATTAAAATACCAATGGCACTCTTCTCAGAACTAGAACTAAAATTTATATGGAACCACAAAAGATGCTGAATAGCCAATGAAATTGAGAAAAGAATAAAGTGGGAGGTATCACACTCCCTGATATCAAACAATACCATAAAGCTACAATAATGAAAACAATATTGTACTGGCATGAAAACAGGCAGATCAATGGAACAGAAGAGTCCAGAAATAAATCCTCACTTATGTGGTCAACAGATCTATGGCAGAGGAGGCAAGGACATACAATAGGATAAAGAGTTTCTTCAAAAAGAAACTGGACCACTTTCTTACACGGTATACAAAAATAAACTCAAAATGGATTAAAGACGTAAATGTAAGACTCAAACCATTAAACTCTTAGGAGAAGATAGGCAGTAAACTCTTTACTTGGCTCTTAGCAATATCTCTTTGGATGGATCTCCTCAGGCAAGGGAAGCAATACAGAAAATAAATAAATGGGACTATATCAAACTAAAAAGTTTTGCAAAGAAAAGGAAACCAACAAAAAGACAACCTACTAAATGGGGGAAGGTATTTCCCAATGATACATCCGATAAGGGGTTAATATCCAAAGCAGCGGTTCTCAACCTTCCTAGTGCCGTGACCCCTTAATACAGTTCCTCATGTTGTGGTGACCCCCAACCATAAAATTATTTTCGTTGCTACTCTATAACTGTAATTTTGCTACTGTTATGAATTGTAATGTAAATATCTTTGTTTTCTGATGATCTTAGGTGACCCCTGTGAAAGGGTCGTTCGACCCCCAAAGGGGTCGCGACCCACAGGTTGAGAACCGCTTTAGTATGTAAGGAATTCATACAACTTAACACCCCCCAAAACAATCCAATTAAAAAATGAGCAGAGGACTTGAATAAACATTCTTACAAACAGGACATACACATGGCCAATAGACAGATGGAAAAATACTCAACACCACTCATTGTCAGGGAAATGTAAATTAAACCACACTGGTCAGAATGGCCATCAACAATAAATCAAATAACTGTGGAGAAAAGGGCATCCTTGTGCACTTCGTGGGATTGTAAATTGGTGCAGCCATTATGGAAAACAGTATGGAAGTTCCTCAAAAAATTAAAATTAAAGCTGCCACAGGAACCAGCAGTTGCACGTCTGGGTATTTATCTAAAGAAAACAAAATCACTAATTTGAAGTTATATGCACCCCTATATTCATTGTAGCATTACTTACAATAGCCAAGATACGGAAGCAGCCTAAGTTGCTTCCATCAGTAGATGAATGGATAAAGAACGTGTGGCACATATACACAATGGAATATTACTTAGCAGTAAAAATGAATGAAATCTTGCCATTTGTGACAAGAAAGATGGACCTACAGGCTATTATGCCAAGTGAAAATATGTCAGAGACAAATATCATATGATTTCACTTATATGTGGAATCAATCTTAAAAACCAAATGAATAAAATAGAAACAGACATGTAGATACAGAAAACTGATGGTTGCCAAAGAGGAGGGGAATGGGGTGATTGAAATTTAAAAAAGCTTAAAAAGATTATCAGCAATTTTGAGTCCCCATTGATGAGAAGGGATAACTTTTGACTTCCCTGGGAGCAAGGGGCGAGAGGGAGTGTTGGGAAGGGAAGGCCCGTGGCCCTGGGGACAGACAGTGTGAGGTTATAACCATGTGGAGTGTCACTTTCCTGAGTGGGACAAGGCAGAAGGTGCCACTACCAGGATATGCTTTATTTAGAGTCCTAAAAATCACAGAAGGGAAGTTAGCAGCAGGCTGGGAGAATTCTGTATAAAGCAAATGGTTTCCTTTTTGACACTCTTAGGGTGTAAGAAACACATTTTTAAACCAAGGGGAAGAGCTAATGTGTGTGCTTTCCTTCCAGATGATAATTTATTGTGATGTTAAAGAATTCAAGGTTGCAATAAACGGTGTACATAGCCTGGAGTACAGACACAGATTTAAAGAACTGACCAGTATCGACACGGTGGAAATTGATGGAGACATCCACTTACTGGAAGTGAGAAGCTGGTAGCTGACGTGACTGCTACAAATACAAATACAAAATGGCTTATGTAACACGGGCCTTGTTAAAATGCATCTCACTATCATTGTATTGTTTATACATACTGTTCAGTGAGCTTCCATAACATTAATCCTACTGCGTGTTCTCAGTCCTTGTCATGTAGTGTGGCTTTGTGTAGCGGAGGAGGAGGCAATTTGAGGCAGCAGGAACTTACAGCCATTATTAAGGCCTTTCTCCCTCCCCCACCCTGGCCTCTTGTGTTTTAACCCACTTCCGGTCGAAGCGCCTAATGTGATACAGTAGCTAACACGCACTGAGCACTTACCTTTTGCCTGCACTGTGCTGGGAGCTGGGGATGTAAACAGTGGGGCCCCAAACCACGTTTCCTGTTCTCTCGAGCTTGGAATCGTCTGTGCTGTGCTGTGCCCTTGTGCCACTTTCTTCTGCAGGTATTGGATAAACTCACTAGGGACTTAGAATTACTCAGCTATCCATACTAATTTATAGAAGACGCTACTCCCACCCCAGTGATCACATTCTTAATGAGCGTCTGTCATCTCACAGCTGAGGGGTTAATGCTGACTTCCATCTAGCAGTTTCATTTAGCATAATATCTAGCTGTACTATAAAAGCATCACCAAATCATAAACTCTATGAAATTTGATTAAGGCATAAGAAAACCCAAGCAAAACCCCCAAAAAATAAATGGTGTTGAAATTAACTTGTCTATTGCAAGCACTGATTTCCATACCAGGAAATGCTTATTTTAGAATATTTGAATTTAGGGCTCAAAGGTGTGCATGTACCTCTCCAGCAAGTTTAAGGTAAAAGAGGAATTCAATTTGTAAAGCGTTGATGGGTAACAGAGCTTAGTCAAGATTTAATGATTGTTTATAAAATAGGCACTATGAGAAAGTCAAATATACCACCTGAGACCAAAGCAGAGAGGAACATGACACCTGTTGTCCACGTGTGAACCTGCCGATTATCCCATCATCATTAGCCACTGAGATCAAAACATTGTTCTACTTTAAGTGATTAAAATCAAACCTGTATCAGCAAGTTAAGTTGTTGCATTTCTGTAATTTTTTCTATTATTCTTTGAAGCAAGTTGGCAGAAATTCTTTGTGGAATTCTTACAGGTCAGATCTTGTTACAGGAAAATTCAAAGGTTTGGAGTGGGGAGGTAAAAAGCTAAATCAGTTAGATCGTTTTATCATATTAAATTGCTGGGTGGGATTCTGCAAGGATTTAGGAGTTATTTTCCTAACAGATTTCAGTTAGATATTATTTGTATCCATATACTGAAAGGAATACTATTACCAATCTTACTTGATAAAAGTACTCAGTGTAGGAACTTCTAGCACTTTCTTTCCACCTTTTCATGTTAATTATGTTGAGTCTTGTCAAGCTCAAAAAACATGGGTGGGGGCGGGTGTTTGGGAAAGGGGTAGAAGGCAGGAAGACTTGAGACTCCCCAGGGTTATTTTTTTCTTTATATAAGAACATCCGATTGCACCACTGGGATTTTCCTCTGTCTTAAACACAGTTCATTTTTAATTGACCTGGAGATATGACTAAGACCTGTTTGATAGAATAAATACAAAACCTTAAGATGTGTTTTGAAGTTATTAGCATTTATGACTGAATCTAATGGAAACATTTCCTGAAGAGAAATACGCATTCTAGTATGCTGCCCCTAAACTGCACGTTAGCCTTTTGCTGCATTGTCACAGCCTGAACTAAGTTTCTTTACTAAATTCGATCAAAGGTTTTCAAACTCAATTAGAACAGTCTGGGAGGCAGTTCTTAGATGCTTTAAATTTTAAAAAGGCATACTCATAAATAAATAGAATTAATAAAATGAAAGCAGAGTTGTTTGAGCCATTACATTCCAGCTTCACTGTGACACAGTAAAGGTTGGAGAACTTCAAAGCTTTGAAAATAAGCTAGTTCGTTCTTTCTCAATACGAGTAATTCTTGGTTAACCACCAATGGAGAAGTGAGGATTCCGCTCCTGGAGGGGCTTCTTCATGCCCCTGGCGTTTCTGCGCCCTTCCTGTCTGTGGGATCAGTCAGGTGTGGGTGGTTTAATAGCTTGCTGCCTCCACCCACTCCGTCCCACAAAAGACTGAAGGATAAAGGAGACAATCAGAGTCCTGAGTGAAAAATACATTCCAGAACTACTTCCCTCCGTGGGCACACAGAAAAAAAGTTAAGGCTGAAGTATCATCCACCCAAAATGAAAAGTAAAAATCCAAATGGCTTTACAGTCAAAAGCATTCTTGATAAATGCTGAATAACTCGTTTTCTTGAGGAAAAGTTTAATACTTGGAATAAAATAACATGGATACCATGTGCACAGGACATTCCTTTACAGAAGAGTTAAGGCTTTACAGTCTGAGTGAGGGATTGTTAGGTTTGGGTGCTATGACTAAACGTGTCTAATATTAATAACACCAGTCAGGAATGACTATAATTAATGTTTAAACACAGCCATCTATAAAACCACCACATATCATTTACTCATTTGCAATTTCATACAACTGGCAGGAAAGGCCTATGTGGGACATACACCAGGTGGAATTTTGTGACTCCAAGTAGGTGTCAAGGCACCAAAAGTAACATGGTACCAAACACCCCAAAATAAAAATATAAAATATAAATCTGAACTCTGTACAGAGTATGGAACGCTGAAACCCCCTAATTTTAGAAGTAGCTCTGGAGCGGCTCTCCCAGCACAGCTTCCAGCTGCTGAATTGTCTTTTGGCACTGATGCTCTACTTCTTCACATTCATCTACGGAAAAGCAAAGGAAAGTGAGTCAGGCTCCCTCCTCAGGTAGCAGGAGGCATCATGGAACCTTCCCCGCATCCCTCCTGTCTGCCTCCGTTCCCTTCTAACAGTAAAGCTGAATAAGACAGAACCCCAGAAGAAAGGTACACCAAAGAACGTTCCAAATTCCTAGCGCTGCTACAGTCCAGGACGGAAGAAACGGAGCATTCTTGGATAGGCAGTGAATCATGAATTTGCAAGTGCTGGTCTACTTGCCTCCACCACCCTGCTTAATAATAAGATGTCCTGTCATTTGTTGGGCCGCGTGGGGGCACAGGGCTTACTCTTCCATTGGTCCACAACTGCACACACCCGGAATTCAACCCCAGTCCCAACTGTCACCCTTAGTTTATCAAATTACTGAACGCTCTTCAAGCCTCTAGTTCCTTCCTTCATAACACGGGGTGATGGCGTATCCCCATCGTGAGGATGAGCTCATCCATGCACACAGCGTGTAAATGCTGGTCACTAACAGGTAGCTGTCCTGCAGGCTTAATGGCCCTCCATATTGACACAATAACCCTGCATATGGGGACCAAAATATTCACATGCATGAGGTAAATGAAAAGTAAACAAGTCTCATGGTCATCAGGCAGTCGCTTCCTCCTCAGATAGGAACGCCGCCTCCCTGGTCACAGGCAGAGGACCAGAGCCAAGGGCTAACCCCACTGCACCCAAATTTGTATTATCATTGGGTGCATCCCACAGAATTCCATTGTAATTATGTAATTGTTTGGGAATTACCTTCCATCAACTCAGCTAAGAAAGGAATGGATTCTGGTAGCAAGACGATATAATTCTCCTTTAGTTTCTCAGCCAGGGCTAACACAGTAATCAGGGCAGCAAATCGAACCTGAAAGGGACAAAACGGTAAAGAGTTACAAAAAACGAGTGTTGCTAGATTTACTACCTTAAAATCTGTCTAGCTTGAGACAAGTCCTTAACTTTTTAAACTAAATGTCATTTCACATGGGTTTACTTCACTTTATGTCAATTTCATGTTCATCTTAGGATACCAGTTGAATGGTTTGGGATCTGTTTATAAAATGGGCAGCCTTATAAATCAGTGTTTTTCAAAGTGTGTTCCAGTACTGCAGGCTTTAACGTGAATGTTGTCTTCTAACATTTTTCCTTTAAAAAACCAAAATGCCACAAACTCAAACGCGTCACCAAATTTAACTGCATGGGAGGTCACCAACTCACCTGATGCGGATGGTGCTGACCTAAGTAAAGTGTCCCTGGCCACCTCCGAGAGGGTCCCACCCTCAGAACCCTGACTGTGGCCACCACTATGGTTGTTGGGGGCCAGGCCACCAGCTCGGGTCCCCTCTCATCTCAGCACTGAGTAAAAAAACACACTCACTGTGTCGCAATGTCCTTGTCTGTGACCATGATGCAAGCAGCTGCTCAGTACTGTAAGTGACCCACTGAGAAACAGAAGCTGCACTAGTCCTCACTCTGGTTTGGGGTAATTTAAAGAATATTTGGATATAGCAAAGTGAGTTGTTTAAAAAACATGTAACTTCCTATGTTCAATAAGGATTTTCTTGATATTGTACAATCAAACCAAAACATAATAAATTTAATGCTGCAACTTTGTAAGTACCTAAAATTTAAAATTTGGGGGTTCATTAAAATAGTCTCATTGTTCTCATTATTTCCTAATAAGTAAATATGAATTTCAACTAATAAATAAAATCCTGCTTTGGTTTGATGCATCCACTGCGGCACTAAGATAACGAGCCTGAGAAGAGGCGCCTCACTGTTAGCTCAGTGAGACTGACAGTCAGGTGAGGGACTCGAACGTCACTCACCCTCCCCTAAGTGCCACCACCTGTCTTTCGTTATTCGGCAAAATCCTAAGCCTCACAGAGATGAAGGAGGTAATACACTGCCCTAACTCAAAGGAATGTTCTAGGGACAGAGTGAAAATGTGTTCCTGGGAGCACAATGACATTTAAACGGGGCTTAAAGAACACAGGGAATCACTTCACATCTTTCCAAGATTCAAAGGTACATGTTTAGAAAGTATTTTAGAGCTTGTGTCCAAGACCCCATGGGGTAGGAGGGGGACTTCTGCATAAATAGCCTGGAAGTGAAACCCGAAAACGTCTCAGGCTGAAACTTCTGCTACCACAGCCCGGCTGTTGGCCCTAGAAGACGAGCACTGGCATCTGTCCCCGCTCGTCCACCATGCTCCTTCATCCCTGACCGCGTTACAGGTGTTCAGGTGACAGAATGAAAATGCGGGCATAGGAGCTGGTTGCCCGCAGCTCCTGACCTTGGGTGAGGAGTCTCTCGTTTTCAGCAGGATCTGGTAGTTCAGTGGCTTCCAGAGAGAGTCATCTGCCACGGCCACCGAGAACTGCGCAATGCACGGAACCAGGTGCTGTGTCACCCGCTCCTGGAACTTCTCTTCTCCTCCAAGCCTGTTTTCCAGCTAGAGTGAGAAAAGGACTTTGAGTGATAGGTAAAAAATACCCAATATATAAATAATAATCATGATATTAGCAGGCTCAAAAACCAGGTACCATTCTAATATTCTCTCTAGAGCAAACGTCCCTTCTGGAACTCACAGAGCCTCACAGCCCTCAGCATCGCCCCTCTCCCTCCAGCAGAGCCATGCTCCCAGAGGGCAGCCACGCCCTCACACATTCTCAGTGAACCCAGCTTTAAAAAATTAAAAATTTAACCAGTAGGCCTTATCATGTCTCTTATTGAAAAGTCCAAAAGTAAAACTGTAAATGTGATGAAGATAAGTTATATTCATGAAAAATGAGAAACTAATTTTGATATACAAATTTATAAAAAAACCCCAAAAACCTGTGGGAAAAAATTATTCCAGTAAGCTGTCATGTTAGTAGGTATACATCCTGTGAAAATGTAACAGTAATGGCTGCCTCATCTTTCAACAAAAGATGGTTTTGTTTGGTTACCTGATCTACCAGGGGCATCATCAAGGCTTCTGCTCTCTCTTTACTTAAAAAATGCTGAGTGTCAAAAAGGAAGATTTTATACAAACAGTTCAAAATAAACTGTAATAGTAAACAGGACTTTTCAGGGTCATTTTCAGAGTCAAAAAACGCTTCATCTGTAAGATGGGGTAAGAGAAAAAAGAAAGAAAAAAAAAGAATTTTACCATTTACTCTCCGATGTTTAAATTCAAATCACTACTAAAGGAACTACAATCAGACGGTATTTCTACAATGATCTAGAAGACAAGCTCAGGATGAAGACACAACACAAAGTGGATGGTCTCTCAGGTAGGTGATTCCTTCCTTTACAGTCCAGAGTTCAGATTAATAAGACTGTTTAGCTTGGCAAGTTAAACCAGTTTCAAGTGTGTCGCTTGCATTAAATAAACCAACCTTAACTTTACTTGCAATAGCTAAGTGATGCCCATTTACTTTCTTTCTCTCACGTGAGTCAATTAATGACCAGTTTTCAATATGCTAAAACACACTTAACGCCTAACAAGGACTACAGGTGAAAAATCCACCCTCCTTACACTTATTACACTTACTATACCTCGTGTCAGGCACAGAGCAAGGTGTCAACTGAACTGGAGTCAGCTACCAACCTGTTTTGGAGATGTTCACCTGGTTCAAGGTGTCAGCAAAAGGCTTCACTAAGTGGCCAGCGAACAGAGTGAAAAGCCCTTTCAGTTTCTCAGCAATGCAATTGGCCAAGTTGTAAAATGTCAACAGTCTGTCCTTTGGGGCATCCTCTGTCTTAGCCCAATCAAACAGCTGAAAA